GAATTTGAATTTTGTGGAAATTATTTTTCGACATTTGTATTGTAGTGATTTGAAAACTATATTCTGAGCTTTAACATCAACCAATATTATGATTGTGTATGAATCTACATATCTTCTGTGTTCAAATATTTTTCCTTAAAAATAAAGATTCTAGAAAATGAATATTTGTGCATTCAATATGAACGAAAAAATGTAATAATCCATATCTTTGATGCGATGATAAATTTCTGCAGCAATATGTCAATATGCTTTCAAATATCTTTCAGATACGCCACAACCGCTTTGATCATTTATAGTGACTGACATGATGTTATATAAAATAGATAGGGCATCATGAAAAACTTGAAAATTACTTGTATAACGACATTTCTCTCTTTGAAGGCAATAGGAACCGATAGGGGTTTATGATTCTCGGAATTCTAGTTATGATGCATACACCCACTTGTTTATGTATATTCTTGCTTTTATTAAAATCTAACTTAATTTTGTATAATATTCTGCATATTTATTCTATATATGAAAATAGACGTTTTGTGTAAAGCGCGTGGCTGTTTCAGAGACGAAATTTCGAAGCGCGTAAGCGCCGCTTAGCTGTATACGGAATAAACATTAGTATGGAACCCACAAAAATGTAAACAAAGTTTGTACTTGTTATTATAATCTCTATAAAATACCTGATGTGCATATGTCTAATGATCATTTTTGACCATCAGCATATTTTTTTCTTCTTTTCATTTGATTTTCGAAATCGCTGGACCGCCTTCCCAAAAATATAATCAGTTTTTCATTACAATACAAATGAAATGTTTTTAAATCATTCAAATTGCACGTCTCCCCATCAATAAGATACAAATGTTTTTGTGAATTATTCAGATCGGTTGATAGGTGTCCCCGAAATCGTCGACAAAAATTAGTATCCACACACACACATTCATCATTTTTTTCTATTGAATGCCAAAATGTTTAGAAACCTTTGAAACGTAAAGATATATAAAAATTTTCGTTTTCGATTTTTTTTTGCGATTACTATAACTGATCTAGAGGCATAAATTTTCTAAAATTTTTAAAAAGCCGTAAAAAGGCAATCAATATTTTTACTATCCATTTTATTTAGAATAGAAAAAAAGATAAAAATAAAAAATAGGTCACAAAAAATAAGTACATGACTATACCCATGATTTTAGCTCTCCAAATAATCTCATAAGAAATTAACTATGTTATTTATCTAAAATAATGTCGCTATCGTGCAAAATATGAAAAAGACAAAAAATATTTTTCACAAAATAGCGGCTGCCTGCATTTTTTTTTCATTGAAGTCTACAGAAAAGACTGTAAAAATGAGTCCAGTAGTAGTTGAGAAATCGTGGGTATCGTATCGCAAAAAATGGAGAAAAACATTTGAAGTTTCGCAGAGAAAAAAAACAGAGAATGAATATCGTGGTCAAACAGTTACATCTCCGAAAATAATTTAAATTTTGAAAAAAATTTTTGTACACGTATTCTTGAATAGTTAAATTTTAAAAATATGCAAAAAAAAACAAAATTGATTTTTTTTAAATTCTAGACCAGATTGCATTATTAAATAGTTGAATAAGAACAATGAGACATTTATTTATAGGAACAAAAGAGATAAAACAATTATTTCACTTTTGACAGCAAGTTAAATTTTAACTTATGTTCTATTAAAACATAGATAAAAATGAAATAAAAGAAATTTAATAAAGACATTCATCTTGGTTCAGAAGAAATTAGTGGAGCAGACATAAAATAATTGCATTAATAGTAAAAGCATGAAGTGGCGTAATAGTAGAAGGGGATGTTCTTCAATTTGATTGAGAAAAAAAATCATTTATCGCTTTGTCATTGCTAAAGACATTATAGTGCTGGGTACAAAAGCGCGATACATTTTATTGAATATATATCAAAATGTGAGAGAAAAGAGAAATGTTATATCAATTTCATAATTTAACAGTTTGCTTCTACCGGATCAGGAAATACAGGATATTAGTTTAATATAATTGGACTTTGTAATTGACTAAACGATACTTGTTCTACTATATAAATTTCTCTATTTATAACCAATAAATTATATCGATGCGACGGAAACTTAAATCAAAAGCAAGTCATCACTTCGATAGTGTAGCAAAAATATACAGCGTATGCGAAATTTTGACATTTTTATGATAGCTTGTAAAATGAAGATATTTACGACTTGTGTACAAAAAATATGACGTTTTTACAAGTTGGTATATTTTTCTTGAGGCATTGACTCAATAGCATGTGATGCGTTTTATTTCACAAGTAGCCATATCGAAGAATATAATATAAAATGTTGTATTCTAGACGCGCGAATATTTTAATTATTATAAAAAGAATTTATAGTAATTGAAAATAAATTAATAGCAAAATCAGTTTTGTATACGATATATACGTATAAAATTACATGTTTGTTTTTTTTATTGATATTTATTATTTGAATTATATTATAACCAGTCTCAACTGTTTTCACTCACTAAGATATTATTTTAATATATTGGATAATATGTAACATATTTAAGAGAAAAAATGAAATATATTACAAAAACCATTTTGACATACTTAGAAACTTTTAAGCAGGCAGTTCACAAATAAGTTGTTCTGCCCTCTTTTGAACATTAGCACATAAAGCATGAACCCAAAAAGTAACCAATTTTCTCCGGGTTCAGAATCGAAAAAGAGGATTGTGCAACAAATGCAAGTCTCTTCTTTTAGCGATGGATTTTGTGTTTTTAGCAATTATTTCTTGCATTTTTAAAGTAGAAGCTAAAAGTCAATTACCTTCGACAGGTTTTATTTTTTTGGCCGTATTGGTCCTTGCGAAATAGTAGATACTATGTTATTTTGTCCATTGTATAAGTCGTCTAAAACTGAACAAAACTGAATAATCAATCCAAATTTCACTACACACCTGATTATAGCAATAAAACTGATTGAAATCACTAGTTATTGCACAAGTTATCTGCTTTTAATTGAAGAACATTGTATCATTTTGTCCATATACCATTTTATCGGTATTTTCCCTATTTAACCCCGAGAATCAATTAACTAAGATACTTTTTATAAAATAATATGACAATTCGATAAGTTGAGTTATTAATAAATATAATTAAAAAACAATTATACATTTGTAACATAATCTTTTTTAGGGCGCTTTTTTTTTCAACTTCCAGTAGGTTAAGTTATAGCAATAGCAAACTAATTGAAATAAAAATTTTAATTTATCTTTACGTTTCAAAACTTCTGAACATTTTGACGTATCGTAGAAAAAACAGATGTATATGTATTTGTTTGAGAAAAGTAAAAAAATTGTTATTAGACGGTGAAAAATAATTCTTTGATATATGCGCATCAAATTATCAAAAATTTCAGAACAAACTTTTGAAAATTGCCTTAGAAGCACCAAATTATATCCCGAACTGAGTGATTCATCTTGACACGAACACACCTACCATAAAAGATGTAATAACAAAAACAGCACATAAATATAGAAACAAGCTCATCCATCATCCAAATTCACTAGCAAACTCCTTAATAACAAAACTATCGAAGTAGGTTGAAAAAAAAGCGCCACTTGATCTAAGTTATCAATTTTCCTGATAAAGATTGAAATAACTTACACTTAGTTATTTTTCATAAGCAATTATTTATAAGTAAATAGTTAAGGTTTATCGTTATCAACAAAATATTGTTAATATTAAATCGAACGGAAAAACAACTATTGAGTTGTTTTTCAAACATGTCCAAATAGTATACAATGTCCCTTTACGGCTGACAATTGTAATTTTCCCAAATTTACTAAATGTTCTTCACTGGACAGTTGATAGAATAAAAAAATATTAGGTATTTTATAGTGAGTGTGAAAATTTTTTTAAAATTTTCAAAAATTACAAGAAGTGAAAAAATTACTTCTAGAAAAGTCAAATGTTTACAAAAATTTCAAAATTCTCAAAAATTATTTTTTCAAGGTTTTCAAAAAAAAATTAAAGTTTTGATTTTTGTTACGGAAAGTCAGCAATTTGTCTTAAGGGGCACAACTAGTGTAACCGCTTAAAAAAAGGTGATTTTTGGAAATTTATATTAAAAAACTTCTTTATCAATCATTTCAAAATTTTAGAAATATATTTATACTTGTTTTAAGAATACATAGTAAAATTTTTGAAAAAAAAAATTAAATAATTTTTAAGTTATCGTCGATCTCCAACGGCGCGACAAAAAAGGCCCTTCACTGCTGCAGTGATTCCGGTCTTCTACGTGGATGAAAAAAAAAAAAATTGTTAAACTAGATAATATTGTCTGTAAAATGAACTACGATAAAGAAAAAAAAACAAAAACTGACAAAATGACGCCGTTTTTATTAAAAAAGTCGAATTTTACCTAAATTTTGGTCGTTTTTGGACTGTCAAAATTTGATTATTGATCCGATCAAAAAATCGATAGTTCATTTTACGGTGAACTATATATAGAACATTTAAAAAAATTGATAGTGATCGGATCATTTGTTTTTCAGTAATCGCTGCAGCAAATTCGGAAAATGCTGTTTCGAGAAAAACGCGTTTAAAGATAAAATGATCGTTATACTATATAATATATATACTACATATATACTCATTAAATGGCTGTGACTCAAAAACTATTTAAGATATCGATTTAAAATTTTGGTATGTTATTTTTAAGGTATAAACCTATCGAAATATGGAAAAACTGAAAATTCGATTTTTTGAAAATTTCACACTAGTTGTGCCCCTTAAGACACAATGCCATGCAAAACTAGTTTGAAATTTTTTTAATGTGCTATTTAGAAACTCGTAGTTATTTTAAAATTTTAGTTTTTGTAAATCGTATATATCCATAGCATCAGCATACAGTCTCACATAAAAACGTATACTCGCATTTATATAAAAAATCTACTATAATAAAATCAAATCAAACTTGTATATTTGTACATTTCCATCGATATGTACCCCTCGCGCGGGCCCGCCTGACCAGCGCCGTTATTCGCAGCGCTCGCCGCGTGCCTGAAGTCGTCGTCTATGTCGAGCACGTTGGCCAGAAGACTCTTGGACGAGCGCTCCTTCAGCTCCATTTCCTTCATTTTGTTGTTCATGAAGATCGTTTTGCGTGTTATTTTCTTACCAGGACGACCCATGCCAAGCATCCACGGAAGCCATTGAAGAAACACGGATTTTATCTGCGGACAAAACAGAGATCACCATTGAGAGATTACCTAATACAAGCGAGATATTTTTCTTATGCATCTATAAAGATAAACTTGAGTATAGTATTTTCAACGACGGAAAATATTAAAATCGATTTATGAAAACTGTCAGCTATTGAGAAATTTTGATAAGAAAAATATTACATTAAACTTTCGTCTTGTAAGCTTTATTTTTATACATTTTGTTATAGGGTACACAATGGTGTAATTAACTTTTCGTAGGGTAAGTTATTATAATCATCCAAAAAAAAATTGATAATTTTTACATTTCTCGACGCTTGGAAGGTTTCTGAAAATTTTGGCATACCCTATAAAAAATTGATGTGTGTGTATGTATGTATGGATACATTTTTCGTCCACGTTGCAAAACATTCAATTCCTATTGATAGGGAGATATGCTGATTAGTTTTTGGCAAAGACAGGTGCAGCCGTTTCGGAGATACGGCAAAGAGTGCAGAAAATACAAATCGAGTTTTAGGGAGATCGGAGCATCCGATTTGAACGATCTAAAAAACATTCAATTTGTAATGACAAGGAGAAGGGGTGATTAGTTGGTGGCAAAGGCAGGTCCAGCGGTTTCGGAGATACAGAACTGAATGTTCAAAAAATGGCAATTTTTGAGAGAACTAAGCGTCCAATTTGAATGATTCAAAGAACTTTCTGCTTGTTTTAACAAAATAATTGCTTTTGGAAAAAAAAATTGTTCAAATTTTTTTTTTTCAAAAAATATTTTTTTTGTATATAGAAAATAATTCTGATTTTAATTGTAATTTTGACTTAAGTTCTGATAAACTTTAAACAAATATTTTCAACTTTGAATTTCAGTTTATATAATTCTTATAAATATTAGACAATGTTACAGTATTTATTTATAATAATCTATTTGAAACATTCAATATTCTTCGAACATTTTGTTTCGGTACGGAAAGTTCCAGCAATTTGCCTTAAGGCACGATGCCATACACACCACTAGTTTGACTTATTATTACCAATTTTACATATAACACGTATAAAACAACCATTTATTAAACTATGTTATTAAAATTTTCAATTAATTCCTAATTACACAAACATGTTTGTCTACTACTGCTTTTCTAAAATTTGTCAGTGGATAAACAGGTCCAATGTCTCATTTTTAATTTGAAAGGAATGCTACAAAATAATAGCTACATTATTCAACCAATTCGAAATACAAATTTTATGGGCGTATTTATTTTACAAAAATTACACTGTATATAACCTTGATCTAGTATTTTGTCAGAAACATTAAAAAATTGCTTTTTATACTTAATTAACTTTTAATTTACTTTCTTCTCATATTTTACACGTTTGAAAATGTAAAGTTTTAGTTAGTAATTCTTACCCAACCCATATGTGAGCTTTCATAGAGTTTATATAAAAAACTGGTAGAATCTCACTTAAAAATAACAATACATCTTATAAACAAATAACGAAAACTTCAAGTATCATAAACTAAACATAAATAAAATAGCTCAACGAAAAAAATATCAACAAAAAAAATTGATACATGGCATTTTACCATCTGATAGCGACATAGTAAATTAGTCATGGCTGGTTATACATCTACTTTAAATAGTATCGTTGAAAATTTCTATGCTTGACTTGTTTTCGAGATAACAATGGTGGATTTTTCTACCCGCGGATCTTTAAGCCCCATAATACTCTAGGTCAAAATGAGAAAATAGTAATTTTGTAACAACTGTAAACAACTTGTAATTTTTATGTTTGTATAATTCTTACTATTACATTTAGTAATCACATACAAAGCACATAATTCATGTTTTGCAAGGAAATTTTATTGAGAGTTTAAACAAAAAAATAATTAGAGTCCATAAAAACGTTTATCGTAAAAAAATATATCAATTTCTGAATTTTAAATCTGAATATTTAATCAGTTTTATATTTTTTGCATTTTTTAAATTTATAATGTAACCTACATTGCATTATAAATGTACATATTTTTGATTCATTTTTTAGTCTTTTTATGTAGTAAATTTTATGCGAACTTCAGTGAAACTGGATCGACAAAGAAAAATTGGAATTTCATGTTGAGTACGCAAAATATGAAATCGATAAATATAAATTCGCTTCGAATGTACAAATAATGCATATGAAAAATAGGTAAAATATTATAGCAAAATGGTCTGAAAACTTGCTTAGTAGAATGGAATACTTTTCTCAACTAAAGTGAGTTTGGAATTATTTGAAAATTTTTCATTCATTTCTTTCGCTGAATATACAACAAACTGAGCTTCATATTATAATATTATAATACAAACATGAATCATTAAATTTTTGCGTTATGAATTATCATTTTCAAAAGAAATTTATTAGCTGTAGTAATATTTAAAAAAGTATTACTACTGCTTGATATCAGGTTGTTTGTAATCCGGGATTGCACATATATTTTGATTATATATTAGAGTGAAAATATTTTAATTTTTTATCCATTTTATCTTATAAATAAATTACAATTTGCTGCAAAAAATTAACTACATAATGTTTTTTTAAATTGAAGGAATATATAATTAATTATTGATATAAGATTTTATTAAACAGAAGAATTAATTTGGTAAATGTAAACCTATAACTTCTATTTAATTTTATTTATTACTTGCGGTTTATTAAAGTTGTTCCCTTAAATCCTAATATCATTATTATATAAGACGCAATACGTCCCAGATACTTCAAAAATTTATTACAATCCGCAGACATGGTTTAGCTTCTCATCAAAACTGTCCTAAACATTTTTATAACCCCATTGCTAATCTTATATACATGAATATATAATATTTGGATATCAATTACTCCTTTAGTTCCATAAAAACGAGGGCTAAGATTTACCAGAATGCGAAGCGTTCTATCCACTTACACTAGGGATGTAATAAATTGTTTTATTTAATATCGAAGACTTGATTATAGAATTTTTAGCTATATTGATACGTTTTCTATTTTTATCGATGCTTTAAAACTATTAAGCATTTGAAACATACATATTTTATCCATTTTTTTTAGTTTTTAGGGTTTCTAGAATTTAAGGGTTTTATAGTCTATTGTGTTGGTTTATTCTTGACTACGTGGCTTTGTCAAAAAACAATCCAATTTTTGGCTTTTTTCTAGCGCTAATTATTTTTAATTTGTTGCAATAATACCGCGGAAGGGATAATTTCAGTAGGAAATTATATATACTGTAATGTAGAGAATCGTTTGTTTTGCAAAATTCTAAACCATAATTTCTAACAAATATTGATAATGAAACATCTGTATATCGTATATCGTATACAGATACTATATGTCTTTTCTCTTTGTTTGAGAAAATTTATTGAAATTTATTGCACCTACTACATTTGTTACTTAAGCATTAGTGCCAAGTTACAGTAAATATGGATTAATTGTCTATTTACATTTTTTGTTTTCAGATGATATAATAAACTGAAAATGATTGATAACCTCAAAAGGTTGGAGGACAAAAGAAAAATATTTTTTTTAGTATTAAAAGACTGAAAATAATAACTAAGTAATTAGGATAATATAAATTTAGATCATTTAGACTATCGAGATAATCAAAATTTTAACATATTAGAAAGTTTATTATGTTATAACGTCGAAGAAATGATATTCTAGTATTAATACCAAAGATTTTTTTTTTTTTTTTTTTTTTTTTTAACATTATCCAACAGCAATCAGAACATATTGTTGTTCTATGGCTGTTTGGTTCAATATTAACTCAAGTAGAGTTGCACTTGAGTATAATAGTTGGCATGGTAGATAACCCTCCAATGAGGATTACTAGACACTTAAAGAAGATCTGCTGGTTGTTTCTTCTTGAGTCTTCTGGGTTGAGAGTCCAACAGCAGCGGTTGTATGATGGAATTTACGTGGTTATGTAGCCGGGCAAAGTGGGATATGCTTCTTTTACTGATCACTTCTTGAACTGTTTCCATATGGAGGTCATTATGCAAGATTTTGTTGGATACATACCAAGGCGCGCTTGTGATAAGTCTTAAAATTTTTGATTGTTGTCTCTGTAAGGCCTTGATTCTGGTTTTGCTGGCGCATCCCCAAAGCTCGACTCCATAGGTCCATATAGGTTTAATGGAAGATTTGTAAATAAGAAGTTTGTTGTACAGCGACAGCTTGGAGTGATGTCCTATTAACCAATATAGTGACCTGACTTTGCTTCGTATCTCTTTTATTTTTTGGTTTATATGTTGTATCCAGTTTAGTTTATGGTCCAAATGAATACCGAGATATTTGATGTTGGAGACCTCTGGTATAGCCTTGTTATTCATGCTGACAGGAGGGCATTTACCCTTTTTCAGCGTGAAGGTTATATGGCACGACTTGCTTTCATTAATTTTTACTCTCCATTTTTTGGACCAAAGTTCAATTGAGTCTAGATGCTCTTGGAGTATCTTGCTGGCTACAATAGGATTAGAGTCGGTAGCCATTATAACAGTGTCGTCAGCAAAAGTTCCTGTAAGGGTGCCGTTGCAAGTCGGAATATCATGGGTATAAATGATATACAAAATAGGCCCCAGAGCACTTCCCTGGGGGACCCCGGCTTCAATTTTCCGAAATGTCGATACCTGCCTGCCTACTTTTGTCCGAAAAGTTCTGTCCGATAAATAGGATTTGAAGAATTCATAGTAATCAGGCATAATTTTGTTGATTTTGATTAGGAGACCATGGTGCCAGACTCTGTCGAACGCTTAATACCAAAGATTTATTCAGCGATTGTAAGAACTAGAAATTCTTTTGCATAAACTGTAGTCTTCAGATATATTATTATGTCTTTACAGAATCGTTAAATAGATGTGTATATATTTTTATATATACGATTTTTACTACTTTGAAAATGTAAGAATTCACTTTTTATCTTTAAAATTAAAATTTTTTCTAAACAGAACAGTCTACAAAATTAAATCGCAGTTTGTTCTTAAGTTTCTGAA